GGGAGAGGGGAAGAGAGGAGGGCCGCAAGTCTAAGGGTTTGGGTCGGGTGGGGGTGTGTGGGGTGGGGGTGGGAGGGGAGAGAGGGTGGGGCCAGCCCAAGTGGAACACAGACTGTGCAACGCCCAAGAGCTAGGCGCTGCACATTACAGGTGTGTGGCGCCTAGATCTTAGGCGTTGCACAGGTGCGTGTGGGGCCGCAACTGGACCAGGGCTGCCACGCTGGCAGGATGTGCGACGCCTAAGGGAAGGGCGCTGCACAGTAGGGTGCGGCGCCCGGATGTCGGGCGCCACACCAAAGGGTCAGCAGAGTGAAATTTTTTTCGTGACCAGGTCAGTTTGTGATTTGATTTCTGCCTGAGATGAGATATGTGATTTCTGCCGATTTCAAACGCCGGACTGGTCTCGGGGCATGTGGATACCCTGCTGCTGCACGCCAAGCCATTGCCATTGCCCATGAATGGGGCCAGGCCAGACCAGACCCCTACTGGCTACTGCAGAAATTATGAGGATCAAGCAAACGTCCAAGCCCGTGTGTTTCTTGCAGCAGCAACCCTCCCCCTCCTCTCACTGGTGAAACAGGACAGCCAAGCAGTTCATGAACATGAATTCAAGCAGCGCCGGTGGCAGCAGCGTCAAGAGAGGGCGTGGGTCGGCACCTCATAATCAGGAGATCGTTCTCATCTGCCCTGCCCACATGGATGGGCGTGCCACTCGTTCAAGCTCACTCCCCGAAGCCCTGCACAATGCAGTAGGACGTGCCAGTTGTTTATGTTTCAGGGAGCCAATGATCATCAGAGCTTAGGCATAAACAAATGCTAACCAGTCTAGTAACCAGCCTAGTGTGGACAAATGTGCAGAGCAAGACTCCAGAACATGTGCTGGCTAGCTTCCATTGCTTCCTCCGGTATATCTGCAGCTGGCGGTTAGCTGCTAAGAACAGGTTCTAGACTTCTAGCCTAGGGTTGATCACAATTAATTTGGTTCATGTATATAGAAACCGAGAATACCAGATTCTGTGGCGGGAGATGGTTACCGTTGCAGGAAGGTAGGCGGCCCAAATCATACCGGCCATTGGAACTTTCGGAGTTGGTGTGCCGATGTGACCTGGATAGGATATGGCAATAAATCATTTCTCTCTTGGATCTTGCAGGCCAACCTGTCAGTCTTACACCATAAGGAACTAAATAAATTAACAAATGGCGATAAAAACAACAGCAGTGGAAAACACAGTGATTTAGCCTGCTTAGTCCTTGAAGACATCACTAGTTGATCCACGAAATCACTTCAAGAGATGAAAACTCACAGAAGCTCTACTTGAACAGTTGGGTCGTACAAGATACAACTCTCCAGAAACAAGTAATAAGATCAAACAGCGACGTTTTCTGCTTTGAAAAGTAAGAAACGATAGGAAGTAGTATGACAAACGGGTGTACCCAGCTCTCCCGAAGCATCGGCATGCATCACCGCCACGGACATAAAAGTCAGTATAGCAGCCTGTCCCACCAATTCCTGGAAACAGAATGGATCTAACAAAAGCTGTAATAATAGGCCAACTTGCTGTCCTCTGCATATACTTCAGACAGCAGCAACAATCAGATAGGCAGGGAATCCACTATCTGATGTAGACATGCGGTGAGCCCACTCTTTTGCCTAGGCTCAACAATTCCACTGATTGATTATCCTTGTGTATATGTATTCATACCTTGAATCAGAAGAGAAATCTGAATGCTTTACGTGATCCACTTTATTCTTTCTGCTTTTGGCGCTATTTGATGGAAACATTGTCACTGCTGTATGATAGCAACAGGTGAAGAGATTTAAACACGAGCATGCTTTGTAGTATGCTGAACCCTGCGACGAGAGAGACTACATTTAGATGCCTGGCCTATCTGTCGCCTGATCTAGTTGCCGCGCCTGTGGTGAACAAGCTTCAGAATCATGGTAAAACTGATATTTTAAACGATCATTTGTTAATTCAGATAGTTACCGGAAGGGCTTCTGATTTTTCCCTCAAAATCCAATATGCATAGCTCCATATTTTCTTCGCAAACATCAACATCTGAAGTTCTGGACGTCAAACTTGGACTGGATTGTTGCTGTTTCTTCCGAATACCATAAGAAAAAAAAACACTTTGGGTGTCACATAAAAGAACTTCAGACTAGTAGATTGGGAATTGCGATTGCCTGTGACACAAGTACAGAAGAAGTCTGACTGCGCTGGAATTCTGGAAATCACCTGAGCTCAAAAGTATCATTTTGTTTCTTGATAAATGATTTATCATGCCAACAGCTGTACATTACAGTAATAGAGTACTTGGTGAAGTCATGAAAACAATCCTGATAATTACCAAAGAAAATCTGCATTAGAACAGATTAGGTTGATAACGGAGCAATACGGATTCAGGGGTACTAAGCAATCCAGAAAAATAGGTCCCATACCAAAACAGGACTGCAAAATGAAGCTACTCAGCATGTTATATAAAGCCTGATTGCAGTCAAAGAGAATGAAATGTGAAGTTCTAGCCTTAAATAAATTAGCACAGTCTCTGTTTATTCAGTTATAACTACATAATAAATAGCAAAAAGGTGCATAAGACCGTAGGCAAAATGAAGTAATGCACTAATGACTACAAAAGAAGTACAATGCACTAACTATTATCCAGTTCACCTTTTACTCGCCTGGATCCACACACATGGAATTGTTTCCTATGAAGAAAATCTTCTAAGAGCTTGCTGAAGACAGTAGATATTTCTCTGACATACTCTCCCCCAAGCTCGACATTATCTGTGCATATCAGCAGTTATAAACTTGCCTTCTATATCCATCATACAGAACAAAGTAACCATAAGGTGTTTCCTCAAATTCTGAATATTGGCAGTATAGATGACAGCCTGACATATTTGGAGTGCCTTTTCAGGTGTATTTTCCTCATCAAACCATAAATGGTTCTCTTGGTTTAGCAAAACACGATTAATATATGCAATCCATGACTTATGGTCTTATCAACTTAAATCAAACTGTTTCCTGTTTTATTCTTCAAACTCCTCTCTTCTATTATGGTTCTGATCTTCGTCACATCAGACCACATTCCAGCATCAGCATATATATTGGACAGCAAAATATGATAGCCAGGATCACTGGGGTTCTTTTCAAATATTCTTTTTGCAACTAGCTCAGCAATATCCATTCTGTTATGCACTCTGCAAGCCGCCAAGAGGCATCCAAGAACATCTATTTCTGTCCCTTCCCTCAAACTTGAAATGAACTTCCAAGCATCGTCAAGTTTCCCAGATCTGCTGTAAAGATCAACAACACATGAGTAATGCTCCTTATCTGGGGAAATGTTGTAGTCTTGTAACATGGAATCGTAAAAGTGCAAGCCCTGCTCAGTAAGGCCTGCATGACTGCAACAAGATAGTAGAGCCACAAAAGTGACTTTGTCAGGAGCAATTCCATCTCTCTTCAATTGATCAAATAACATTATGGCTTGATCTTCATGGCCATGCTTTCCCAAAGAAGAAATCAATGTGTTATATGTGGCAGTATCTCGCTCTGTCATCAGCTGAAAAATATCTTTGCCCATTTCTAGGCAACAGCATTTGCAATACATATCTATAAGCGCGTTACTAACTGAGCAGATAGAACTCATATCATGCCTAACGACATAAGCATGTAGTTCCTTACCCTGTATGAGCCTGGAATGGTGATTGCATACTGGAAGAACTGAAATAACAGTCACATGATCAGGTTTAAATCCTACTTTCTGCATCGCCCTGAATGCACACAGTGCAGAATCTGTATCCCCATTCACACCGTACGCTGCAACCACTGAATTCCATATGACCAAATCTTTCTTTGGAATGAGCTCAAATACGGTTCCTGCCTCCCCAATGAATCCTTGTCTACTGTAGAAGTCAATAAATGCGCTCCCCAGAAACTTGCTCTGGTCAAGTCCATGTCTTAACGAGAAGCCATGAACCTCTTTTCCATGCCTGACTAACTTCAGGCCAGAAAGACTCGGAAGTATACTTGCCATGGTATTGGAATTTGGTTTTAACCCTGAAGCAACCATTTCAGTAAACAAACTGACACTCGCATGATACATCCCGTTCTGCGAATACCCCGCAATCAATGTACTCCAAGAGACGACATCCTTGAAATCGATAGAACGGAACAAATAATCAGCCATCTCCAGACAGCCACACTTGCAGTACATATCAACCAGAGCATTTGAAACACAGTTATCATCAGCAACTCCACATCTTACCGCGCATCCATGCAACGCTGTTCCAGCTCGCAACTCTTTCACCCTGCCACACGCTGGGATGACAGTGGCAATGATCACGGAATCAGCCCAGAACCCTTCGGATCTCATCCTACTGAACAAACACATCGCATCGAGCCAATCTCCTGCATGCACAGCTCCTCCGATCATCGCAGTCCACGCGGCCACATCCCTTTGCTCCATGCTCTCGAACACACTCCTCGCCTCGCCCAAACACCCACACTTGGCAAACATGTCCACGAGCGCGCACTGCACAAACACATTGGGCTTCGCGTCACCACAGGCAACTCCTGCCTCCACATGCTCTCTTATCATTCGGCCCTGCTCAACCGCTCCAAGCGCGCCACACGCCTTGATGACGGGCGGGTACGTGAAACCATCTGGCGCAGCCAAGCCATCGTCGACCATTGCCCGGTACGTCTCCAGCGCCTCGGAGAACCGTCCGGCGTCGACGAGGCCCTTGATCGCGGCGTTCCACGCGAAGGAGTTCCTCCTGGGCATTCCGTCGAGCAGACAAAGCGCGTGCTCGATCTGCCCGAGCCTAGCATACACTTGCACCAGCTGAGCGGCGAGTACCGCGCCGTGGCGGTGGCCGCCGACGAGCACAGCGGCGTGCAGCCGCCGGGCCTCGGCGAGGGCGGGGCCTGACCGCAGCCGGAGGAGCAGCGACGAGTGCGAGACGGGCGAGGCGTCCGCGTGAGAGCCGCGGCGATGCGCGGCGGAAGGGGAAGCGGGAGCCTTCGCCGGCGAGGCAGGAGAACGGAACCGCCGTCTGAGCCCGTGCCTGACGGCGGAGAAGAGCATCGAGGGGAGCCTCCGGCACGGCGGCGCCGCGCGTGGTCTCAGCCCAGAAGCAAGTCACTTCAGAAGCTTCAGTCAAGCGCGGGACCTGATTACCTGACGGACTGCCATGTCAGTTTTCGTTTCATTTTCATGTCCGCCGAAACCTTTGAAGCCAATGCCGCGGTCCTGGCACCCACCGCCGCCATTGCCGACATAGCCGCCGCCTCCGTCGTCACGGTCTTTGTAGCCGGTGCCACCATTGCCGCTGTAACCACCGAGGACCGGCAATTGGATTTGGATACGAGGAACCAGCTGGTGAAGCATTTGGCAGAGATCCTGAAGCTGAAGCCGTGGTGTTCGTGGATACTAACTGCAATGTGATCTCGAAGTAGGAGCAACTGTAAATTGTTTAATATGTGTGCACGTTATGTACTTGTATTTTTATTTTCTGTTGTTCAATCAAGACTACTTGATCATACGGTGCGATTACGAGGGACGCAGATGAACAAGCAGCTAAGGGCGTCGAGCTAGGCTGAGGAGGTGATCCGTCATTTTTTTTCCTTTAGTGACTGCCGTGGTGGTGCCGAAGGCAGGTGACGGACGTTGGTGTTAAGCTTAGCGATGTTCTGCTATCTTTTCAGTTTTGTCATGTCGGCTTTTACGTGACTTGTAATTTAATCTTTATGATATGAATGTGACACGTATTACCATGAAAAAAGGGTAGTCTCATTTATTTATCTTTTGCGGAAATAAAGGCAGTCTCAATGCCTGCAAGGTAGTATAGTGTAGCATGCTGCATACAAAAAGTAACGTGACTTTATATTATATTTATAATGAGAAAAGAAAGTAAATTTAGCTACACTCCTAGCACCGAAACCAAGAAAACTACTGTAGCTTGTGTGAAAATCATTGAATTCTGCTCTCACCGTGGGAGGTTCACATATTGTGGGGAAGGCTGTCACGACTGACATGGTGGATCCGAAGTGCCTGGAGGAGAAGGACTCGACGGTCCCAGTGGTTGGTGGACTGTGAGGCCGAGTGGATTAGTTTGGTCGGTTCGGTTGGGCCTATGCTTGACCTTGTGGGCTGCAGCCCGTCTCATTCTTGTATAACTAGGCCTTCTCTGTGTAAGCTGAGGATATCGATGAAGTGGATATTGAATCGGCCGTGAGCGAGGAGCTGATCTTCTCCTCCGGAACCCTAAATTCCTTCCCCTCCCCTGCCGATCCCCTTTCTCTTCCCCACTCCAATCCCTCAATAGATCGGGCCCGTTACATCTGGTATCAGAGGTTAGGCGACCTGGAGACAACGTACCCTCGCCCGCGCTACAGCACGAAGCAGGCGCTCAAGACGGCGGCGATGGAGGAGCAGCTCGCGGCGCTGATCCAGTCGGTCAACGAGAGCCGCGCCGCCAACGACGCCAAGTTGGAGGCGATTCAGCAATCGCTGGAGCTTTGGCGCCCTGCGGTCCAGAATCTCCAAGGCCAACTCGATGAACTCCGTACCCAAGTGGGTAGGATCGCGCTCCATCCCGTGCTCGCGAATCCGTCATCCATCCCGGAGGAGCAGCCGCGACGGCCAGCGCCCCCACCACCGGCGGCCGATCTGGGGCAACAACATGGGCCAAGTGGCCACGGTGAGGTCTTCAACTCCGGGGGCTTGGTACATGGGGTGGTCACCACCCTGGCACCGCCTCCGGTCAAGGGTGCGTGCTCTAATCCCTCTGAAACTCGCACTGCCATAGATCTAGATCAACCCATGTCGGGCAGCTTGGTGCAAGAGCAAACCCCCTGCCTTACTCGCACCATGCGCACTGGGCACTGCCGAAGATGGATTTCCCATCTTTCGACGGGGACAACCCCCAATTCTGGAAGAACAGATGTGAAAAATACTTTGATGTTTTTGGAATTGCTCCGGAGATGTGGGTTAGGTTAGCGACTCTGCACTTCACGGGCAATGCAGCTCGTTGGCTATAGTTGCATGAGTCACAACACACTGTTTTCACATGGCAAACACTTTGTAGTGCTTTGAGTACCAGGTTTGGGCGTGAGCAATATCAGGCACATATCCGGCAGTTCAATACATTGAGGCAAAAGGGTACGGTGCATGAGTATATGCAGCATTTTGAGGAATTGATGCATCACATTTTAGCTCATAATCCTGCATTCGATTCTGTTTACTTTACAACCCAGTTTCTGGAAGGGCTTAGAGCCAAGATTAGAGCAGGCATTATGTTGCATCAGCCAAAAGATTTGGAGACTGCCTTTTCTCTTGCTTCATTACAGGAGGAGCTGTTGGAGGCGTTACCACGTCGAGAATATCGACGCCAAGACGTGGCACCCCCGAGGCAACCTGTGCAGCAGCCGCTGCTAGCGTTGGTGTAAGTGCATCTAGTGCCACCCCTAGTTGGTTTTGGAGTATTGACGACAAACCTAGTTGAGGGACTAATGTGTTTGTGAGAATTGCAGGATAACACAGGTAGAAGTCCCTCATTGATTCAGTTTTCCTACCAGAGATGACCCCTAAAAATGTATGAAGACATTGAAGTCAAAGGTGGTATATGAAGATACTCATATTGAAGACTATGACAAGAGAAGACACCACATGAAGCCTATGGAGCTCGAAGACTTAGATCTTTCGTAGTTCTCTTTCTTCTGTGTTGAGTCATAGGAACCACCCTACTGTTAAGTGGGTCCAAGAGAACCAGTCAGAATGACTGAAGTGATGCTTAAACAAAACCTATGTCTTCGAGTGAAGACTTTGAGAGCGAATCTTGTCCAGAGTCGGGCAAGTCAGCTTTGCTTGAAGCCCAAGTAAAGTTGTCGTGTGAGTTTGAAATCTGACCGTTGGAACACGTGTCAGTTCCTTAGTGACCCAGAGTCATTTCGGACAAATCAGGTCGGGTTGCCAAGTGGCTATAAATAGCCCACCCCCTACAACCATAAACGGTTGGCTGCTCAGATTCAGAGTACGGCTTTTGTCGTTTGAGAGCAACCCACCTCGAAGCCTTTGAGAGAGAATTCCTTGCGAGGATAAAGCCCTAACCACCCAGAGCCAAAGAGAATTAGGCATCACTTAAGTCTTCTTGTCTGTGTGATCTGAAGACTTATTACACTTGAGGACTGTGCATCCTCCAGCCGGTTAGGCGTCGCGTTCTAAGCATCCAAGAGACATTGTGGATTGCCGGTGAACGAAGTCTGTGAAGGTTTGGGAGTCTACCTTGAAGACTTACCAGAGTGATTGGGCGAGGTCTGTGTGACATTAGCTCAAGGGGAATACGGTAAGGACTGGGTGTCCTGAGCTGCGTGTTCAGGACTGGGTGTCCGAGACTGTGTGTCCTAAGGTTTAAATACCTAGCCGCCCTAACCAGACATACAGTTGTCACAGCAACTGGAACTGGTCCAACAAATCATTGTCTTCAACGAGTCACTGGTTTCATCTTCCCTTCCCTTTACTTACTGTTACTCCTTGTGAAGTCATTGTATGTTCGCACTATCTTTTGTCTTCACTGAGTGACTGCGTGTTCTGTGTCGCTTCACAATATCTTCCTACCTGATCCTTACTACATTGCTGCTATTAGTCATTGTGCTTTCACTCTATTGAATACTTGACTATGGCTTGCCTAGTGTAGTCTACCTTCCGCTGCAGGGTAATAGGTTTATTTCTATCGTTTGTCTTCATAACTTCCATGTTTTGAAGACTTTCATAAAAATCGCCTATTCACCCCTCCTTTAGTCGATATAACACACTTTCAATTGGTATCAGAGCAAGGTGCTTCCTTGTTCTGTGTGATTCGGTTTAACCACCTGGAGTTTTAGCTATGTCGACTGCAGGGATAATTAAAGTCTCCGCTGCGTGCCCCGTCTTCGATGGAGCTGAATATCCCTACTGGAAGAATAAGATGCGCATGCATCTTGAAGCCATTGACGTCGACCTATGGTATGTCGTCAAGAACGGCATTCCCAAGGCTGGAGAAGGTGTCACTGCTGCTGATGTCAAGAAGTTCGTTCAACTAGACTCCACTGCCAAGAATATCATCTGTGGTCATCTGACCAAAGGACAGTATGGTCGTGTGAGTGCTTTGGAAACATCTAAGCTGGTCTGGGACTGGCTCTCCAAGGTCAATGAAGGCGTCTCAACCCAGAGAGATCAGAGAATCAGTGTCCTTCGCAACCTCTTCAACCGCTTCAAGTGAAATGACAATGAGAATGTCCAGCTCACATTTGACTGACTCACTGACATCACAAATGAGCTTCAAGCCCTCGGCGCTACTGAAATCACCAAACATGAAGTCGTCAACACACTACTGAGATCACTAGATAGTTCGTTTGACACCCTAGCCCTGATGATTCAAGAACGTCCTGATTTCAAGACACTCGATCCGTCTGACATACTTGAGAGGCTCAACACACATGAGTTTCAGCTTTCTGAGAAAAGAGATATCTACGGTCCAAACTATGGGCAAACTCGTGCCTTGAGGCAAAAGCTGTCTCCTCATCTGAAGAAGAATCTGACAGCAGTTCGGATGATCCTGAAGACATTGGAAGGGAACTTGCTATGCTTGTGAAGAAGTTCCAAAAATTCACCAAGAAGAAAGGTTTCAGAAAGTCTTCCCGATCAAGCTCAAGGAATGATGAAGCTTCTGCTCACGACTACAAGAAGAAAACATGTCACAAGTGCAAGAAACCTGGCCACTTCATCTCTGAGTGTCCACACTGGGACAATGAGAACAAAAAGAAAAAGAAGAGCAAGGAATATGACTCTGACGACAAGAAAAAGAAGAAATACTCAAAGTCTTCTTCCAAGTCTTCCTCAAAGTCTTCATCACACAAGAAGAGCTCATCTGGCAAGGCACGTGCGTTTGTTGGCAAGGAAATGGATTCAGAGGAGGAGTCCGCTTCTGAGGAGGTGGAGGTGGAGTCTGAGGAGGAGTCCGATTCAGGCGTCGCAAGTCTGGCTACAGCATACGTTGCCAAGTCCATATTCAACACTGAAGACAATGACTTCATCACCGACACCGATGCAAATGACAAGGACTACTCCGCTTCTACCTACTGCTTCATGGCACGCGGTGCCAAGGTAAACACACGCACTACTCACTATCAAACATCTAGTGACGGTGACTCTGATTGTGGTTCAAAACCCAGCTACAAAACACTTGCTAAAATTGCAACTGAACAACAGAAAGCTATGGAACATATTCAAAAATTGTTAGACAGAAGCGATGATCTGTTGGGTGCTGAAATGACTCAATCTGAATCCTTAATTGAAGACATAAAAAATCTTCATGTTAAGTATGAGGAACTTGAAAGTCGTCATGAAACTCTCTCAACAACTCATGAAAAGCTTTCCTATGATTATCTTCAAAGGAAGCAAGATCTTGAGAATTTGAGAGCGGCTCATGAAGATCTTCAAAAGGAAAATGAGTCACTTCGCGCCGAACAGATCAGCTCCGCTCAGGAAGGATTTGAACCACCATGTCTTAAATGCATTGAGCGTGATAATGCTACTACTGTTGCTGAATGTTCTACTGCTGCTACTGTTGCAATATCTTCAACTGCTGAGGATTCCACTGCTATTGCTGATGAGAATGCTAGGTTGAAGACATTGCTTGAAATAGGGATATACAAAAGTCTTAAAGGGCATCCGACACTATGTGATGTCCTCAAAAAGAAGATTTTGAACCAAAACCCGAGGAAAGAGGGTGTTGGGTTCGTAAGGAAAATGAATGCTGATGGCTCTTACTGGAAACCTGAGCAGTACCCCAAAACCACATGGGTTGCTGCAAAGGAATTTTCAGCAGATCCATCCACTCTATCTGGGTTCACTTGTGTTAACCCCATTGTCATTGATGAATCTTTTGATGCAAACTATAAACTGTTTAAGAATCAGAATGGTGAAGTGTTTGCCAGGTACATTAGTACTAACTGCAGGAATGGACCGCCTATGAAGAAGTTCTGGGTTCCAAAAAGGTGTCTGGAGAATCTTTCTGTGAATGTCATCATGACACCTCACGTGAAGAAGACAAACCTCAGACCAAAGGCTTCATACGGTCCAAAGGCTTCACACAGACAGAGTACTCACCTGAGTCGCACTAACGCAAATGTTTTGCAGGAAAACCATACTCAGGCATATGAATATGAGAGCGGTTCATCAAACCGCCATGTTCATAAGACCAAGAACTATTCTGCTTATTCTTATGAGTACTATTGTCCGCCTGCATACTGTTTGCTAGGGCTCCAAAGCCAAAGTTCTCAGATGCTGCACTTAGACTTATTGCTTCTAAGCCACCCTTGAAGATGTGGGTGGCTAAGAAAGCTTAGCTCTCTTTTGCAGGGAAAGGTCTCCAGCAGAAAACCAAAATCGTCTGACGCTATTGCTGGGGACCTTAAACATCTTGTAGGGCGCAAGATCAAATGCCCGAATGGTCTTACTATGTACTTCGTTCCTGAATCGCTTGCTACTCTCCCTATTAGTCCTAATCTAGATCTAAGCTTTCATAACCCACTGGTTCGTCAAATGTTTTTGCT